ACTCATCACAAGGAATCAGGTGCGGGCATGCTTATTGTCACTGTCATGCATCTATTTGAGCGAGAGGTTTTGGGTTTATTTCCCACCTCGGTCATAGAGGAGTTACTGTAGCAGTCCGAGGCTTGGCACCTCGGACCTGTCCTTACAATTCTCTATCCAAATATTAAGATTTAAAAATGAATCATTATACCCTATATGAGCCCGTCCAAAAAAATGAGTTCATTAATCGAAGTACTAAAAATACAGGAGAAAAGGAAAAATTTCTATCTAAAATTTGGCGGAAGGATTTGGAGGGAAACCCAAAAGGGCTTTACCTTTGGTGTTGTTTGGCTCATGGCAATGTTTCTTCTCCTCTTTTCCCTAAGTAGGTAATACCTATTCCCCCTAAAACAAAAGTTTTAAAAAATGCAATTGTAAAAGAAATGTTAATTTTGTTGTAATTCAGTATAAAAGAATTGTTATAATTAAAATTTAATTAATTTTTTAAAGTATTTTTATAGCATTTTTACATAATATTTTTTAAATAATAGTAATTGTTTTTTATGAATGAAATAGTAGTAGTTAATAAAAATTAATTTAATTTTTATTCCAATAATTTAATTAAAAAAAGGTCATTATTACAATAATCCATAATAAATATCAAACTAGAGGTGCAAATAGTCATTAATTACTCGTTTGGAGCTCGAGAATTTAGTAGCGTAACCATCGTTTGACATTTGTTGAATTGAAGTAAGTTATCTAGTCAATATAAGTTGAAAAAAAAAATTATAATCTCTAAAATCTCAATTTTAAATAAGTTTTTAGTTTTTTAATTTTTTACTGTAGATAATAAATTATATAATAAAATTTTTTAAAAAAATTTGTTCTTATTCTTTCTAAAATTTTAAATATGAATATTTAAAGTTTTAACCACTAATACATGTTAAACGAACTTTTTTTAATCTAAATTATAAAACAAAAAACAAAATGAGAGCCACTAATATTAACAAGCTTACCTTTCATTTAATAATCTAAAATTTATATCAACTAGAATTTTACTAAATTATTATTTATTAAATTAAATATTATTGTCAAAAACTTAAATCTTTATAAATTTAAGTAGCTAACTTTTCTATATATATATAATTCTAAAATTTGCACGCAATACTACTACGTTAAATATCAATTTTAGTCCATCAATTTTAATATTTTATATAATTTTCATTTCTTGAGTCTTTTATATATTTTTTAAGTTTCTCAATTATAAATAATGTATTTTTTTAGTTTGTTTTAGTTAATTCACTAAATTTATTTAAATATGTACATTTTTAATCATTGAATTTAAAGTTGAGAGATGAAATATATATATATATACTATATGTTAAAGGACTAAATATATATATAGGAAAAAGTACATATTAGTTTTACGCTTAAAAATAATTGGAGTCTCACTTTTAAATTATTTCATTTTATTTAATTAAAACTTAATTCAAAATTTAAAAAATTATCTTATTAAATGTTGATATATTAAAATATATAATGAGTTTATAAACTTAGATATCAACATTTAATATAATAGATTTTAGTTTTCAAATATAAGTTAAGATTTCTATTATTTTTGAAAATAAAGACTGATACATATTAATCTATACATATAATATTATTATAATTTTTAAAAATTTTTAAAAAATTAATTATTAAATAATATAAATTTTAATATTTTTTTTAAAAAATTAACTTGTATCTTTAAGAATACTTTTTTTAATATTAATTGTCACTGAAAAAATAAAACTTAATATTTATTTAATCAACTGTCTAATTGAAACAATATATGTAGTATTAATGAGAAAATTAAAGATGGTGATATAAGAATAATTTTTTTATATCATTTTTATACAATTTTCACATATTATTAAATAAATAAATATACTCAATATTACACATTCTAAATTAAGGAAAAGGACTAATTATTTAAATAAAACATAAAATTATGCTA